CCTGAATAGAACTGCTTCCCACCATCGGTCGCAGAAGCAGTGGTAAGCACTCAGCGTGTGCACAATCCGGTTCATTTCAACTCCTAGTGTTATTTCTAAGTCTTGGGCAGATTGACTTTGACGGAACAATGTAACATCTCTCTTCGCGCACAAACGCACGCACACAAATGCATGCAGACGAAAAGGGCTTGCGTGCAAGGCTGAACAGCGCATCGCAGCAGAATGGTGTAGCAGCTGCGATGGTGGGCGTTAATTTAGTTGGGTAGAAGCGCGATACTCGCAAGCCGCAAACGTATGCTGGATGCTCGTGGTGCATCGGCGTGTGTGGAATGGAATAAACAGAGGGGAAAAGAGCGCAAACGCGGGTAACTGCGATCTGACAGGAAGTGAAGAACACATCAAAAGAACGGGAAGAAGTTAACGCGCTGTCTTCATTTACGCTGCATGCGGTGACACTGAAAGAAGATTTACCAAGACAAGATAAGGTCGGTTCAATCTCTATGCCGAACGGTCAAACAGCAACCATGCAGCACACAATTGCGGTCAACCTTACTGACAGGATGTCAACAACACAAAACTAATGGCTGGTGGGCTGTGGTTAAAAATCTGCGTTGCTGGTGGTTTGGCGCGCAGTTCAGCAAAACACGTAGAAAACTGTTGCCTACGCGTACTTGTAGTGCAAGTGTTTACTGCTTAGGATCTCTATTTTGAATAATAATACAGCTATTATGTCAGGGTATGTGTGCCAACATGTGATGGGAAGTGAAGTGTATTATGGGCAGGCAGTAATGAGTAGAGTCGACTAGCCGTGGGTCCTACTGGTTTGCGAAACAAACCAGTTGTGAACACAGAGAACAAACTGGTGGGCATAGGTCTAGTGTAGAGGGCGAAAAAAGTAAGCCCACGATAAATCACAAGCTTTCCCTGTAGATGTAGTTTAACCACCCTAAATGGTGTAGGTACGACCCAGTAAATGTTTAGTGGTTTGCACTGGTTAGCTGATCATGAGAATGTAGCACGGACTGCACACCATAACAGAGGTTTTTAACGTGAGCAACAGCTGAAAACAGCCAGGTACTAAGTCATCTATAATGAAATTAGCCTGTAGACTGATGGTACGACTATTTGTCTACAAGCTTTTACCAGTGGAGCTGACTCACAAAACTAAACAAACCAGATGTTTTACTTGAAATTACTTTAATCACAGCCAACATCACCTTAACAATCTTTGGCCTCATAATAATGTTTACATCCAGTGTGACCATCACTCCGATAGTCCCACAAGATTGGAAGCATAACCAGTAGACCTTGTTACCCTATGCTCCTCTTCCCAATCGATACTAAGAAGCTCAAGACCAGTGCAACATTATGTAAATGCCCCTTGAGTGGAGGACATAGGACAACCGAAGGTACGATTTTCCATAAATCGTTCGAAGAAAAACGCACTATTTTGTGAGAGAGTAAAGAAACTGTTGTACATCTTGGAATTCACCAGACTAACGATGATAATGCTCCTCACGCTTATTTCTCACGAACACAAGGGAAACCGGCTACAAGCAATTGTCCCAAATGACCCCTTGTCCGAAAAAGTAACAGGCCCCGCCAGCTGGGCGTGCGTAATACACGCTGACTCATCAGTGAATTGCCGTGATCGGTGTTAACAACCTGATTTCCTTACACGACTAGACTACTTTTACATAACAAGCATGTTCATCTTTAACGGTTATTCGGAAACCGAACATTCTTTATAATCCCGAGCAGGATGTTCCTTACGAACACCTGTAAACACCACGATGGAAAAAAGAGCTCCCTCCAATATTAGGCATCCACCGACATTGCGAGAGATGGTTCACCGGTTAAAGTGCGAATTTACTGACTGGAAGATCCCCGGTTCAAACCTAATCTCTACATCTCGAATACCCCCGTCTAGGTTTGGGTAACCTGGCAGTATCTCAGCCCTCGTGCTTACTTCGGGCGTGCTACAGCTGAACGACTGTAATTACTACTTACTGTTCAAGCCCATGTGTGCGGATGTCACTTGTCCAGAGGGACTAAAAGAAATCGTTCAGCTGTAGCACCCTTCCGGTGCCTAGCTGCCATGCTACACGAAGGAAGCACGAGGGCTGGGATACTGCCAGGTTGTCCAAGCCTAGACAGGGGAAGTCGAGAGGCAGAGGTCGGGTTCGAAACACGGACGTTCCGGACAGTAAATTCGCGCTCTAACCACTTGGTCCATCTCAGAGGGACTATCGATGTACATCTAAATATCCTGATCCCACCTAATGTGATAAGGCGCGCAGAAGGAAGCAACGGGTTTTATCTTTGGCGTAATCAAGTCAAATATTTTGCCATTTGATGAATTTAGAAAGCTTGGCAAGGATACAACGTTATATCAGCATAGTATCTGGTAACAGACACGTCGTATAACCATAATCCGTACAAAAATCTTATGGCGTCATTGTGTCGAAGAAGCTTTTCCGAGAACTCGTTCCAATTTACAAGGGATAAACTTCGTTGAATAACTAAGATTGATTTCATCCGCATTGTGCACGCCAGCAAGTAACATAGTGAGTTAAGTGAACTGTAGTCCTCCATCCTCGTAGTTTATTGATTTTCCCCTGATAAGACGTCCATTGTCTTGTTCACGATAGCATCGAATTCGCCCGTGAAGTCTTCCATAATGGAATTGTCGGAATGGATCTAACTTTCCATGGTCCACATTAACTGGACCAGACGCTCAGAAATCTAGCAAGACAAACAATGGGGGGAGGGAACCACAGCCCGAGACAAGAATTCATGAGCGGTAAATGAGATGTGCACGTTCACAGCGTTCGATAACTCAACGATGGAGAAGCAACCGGAGAACGTCAACATAACCACGGTTAGGGGCTTTGTTTTCGGGAACTTATTCAGACGGTTACACGAACAATGAGGCTTTTACGTTTTCCGTCCTCACTTAAATACAACTCCGGTACTAGACTCTGGGGAATGCGAATCCAGTCAAATGACATAGTAACAGACGGTTAGTAGCTAAATCACCGAAGTAGTCAATATGAACAAATAGGGTTTTCGTGACATCTGGAAATACTAATCACTAGCACACGGAAAAAATACCATATACACACTGACGAACCTTCTTCAACGGGGGAGGCACAAATGACTCCTAATGAGACGTGCGAGTTGGACGTATCATGTCACCGACTGAACACTTGGAATAATACAGATGGCATGATGCTTTCAGGTGGAGCATCCGCAGGTACGTAGATTTCACCATTCCTACAACCTCAGGTAACTAGCAATACAACCACATTCAAGAAATATCTACAACTACACACCTATTGTAGCAGACAGTAGAGGAGTCTAATGGAAAGTCGAGGCCAATCTGGTTAGGCGTAAGGAAACTGCGAAAAAAAAATTCTGAGAGTCTGAACTCGGATCTTTGTGTGCGAGTTGGACGTATCATGTCACCGACTGAACACTTGGAATAATACAGATGGCATGATGCTTTCAGGTGGAGCATCCGCAGGTACGTAGATTTCACCATTCCTACAACCTCAGGTAACTAGCAATACAACCACATTCAAGAAATATCTACAACTACACACCTATTGTAGCAGACAGTAGAGGAGTCTAATGGAAAGTCGAGGCCAATCTGGTTAGGCGTAAGGAAACTGCGAAAAAAAAATTCTGAGAGTCTGAACTCAGGATCTTTGTCATGCAGTGTCCGAACTTTCCTGTTATCTCTAATTTCAGTTAAGGTACGCACTCCATACGCCCTAACATAAGAGTATTGCTACTCCCAAACAAAAACCTTTCTTTCTATCCGTTAATTTGCTGAGACCAGCTGACAAAGCTAAGACCCCAGAGCTTCATTTGGAAAAGCCATATAGATTCCACAGAAGTTTCATTGGTAATCCATTAGGAATCTCCCATTAGCAGCCACCATAGCTCGCACTGTTGTTCATACACTCAATGATTGATGTGGCCTGCTTTGTGCGCATCATAACTAGCACACCCCTGACGTTGGAATCCGGTGTTTTGAGTGGACTTGCCAAGGACACAAACACAAACATTGAGAAGCATGGAGCCATTCACAACTTCCGATGTTCCGACAGTCTGTTCTGAAACCCCATTAGAAGTGAAAGGTATAACCTAAAATACGGAATTATTCTCTTCTAATATTACGGTCTTGGAAAGTTGCTTAAAAAATTACATCAACACCCCCCTCCCCATTTATTCAGTATGGAGAAGCGTCCCCGTTCCTGTACAATTTGGTTAATTTGATTTGAACATTTTCTCAGCGAAATTCTAAAAGAGTCCGTAATCACCGCTGATATCGAGGCTATGAAGGACCACACTTCAAGAAAGACGGAAGCTTACTGCCACTAGTGACTGAAGCTGATTGAAACCACTCGGTCACTGGACTAGATATGCTTATTTCCACAGCGATTGTTTTGAGAGCGTAAGCAGACATTAGTAAAACAAGCAAGTGTCTGAGCTGAATACCGCAAAAAGCGACTGGAACAGACACGTTAAGCGCTTATCGAGTCATTGCTTTCCCACATTTCCGCTGTCCAATCGACTAGCTAGTAGGTTATTCAGTCTGACAGTTAATAACAAGACTGGTGGCGAGCAGTGCGTATTCAAGTGACAAATAAATGATCTTCTTGAACAATGTGAACTAGATAGTATTTGAACACTTTCATCAGCACTACACCTGTTGACGATAAATGAAGTAATTAGTTGCCTGTGAAATCTTGATCACTGTAACTAAAAGCATTGTTCCATACTCTCATGTCCTACATTCCTCATTAGAATCAACGTCAATGGACCAGTCTGTTATCAGTTTGCACGCAAGCAAGCATCCATCCAAGCTCAGTAAAGCCCACCGACTCAATGCGCTTGTTGGATCGAACATCGGAATGCTCGGAGACAAACAGTGAAGTCTCAACCGACCGATACCTTAGGCCGCACAGAGTTGATAAGACCAGTAAAAATTTATTATTTATAGGGGGCTGTACGGACAAAGCGAAACAGAATGAGATCGTACATGAGCAGCTTATCCCAGAAAGCGGATTGACTGGACCCCAATTTAGCCCAATGTGACCTCACTGTGGTTGGCCGAAGACACCGACAGCTATGGTTGCCAAGGAATATCAGTAGCGTTCATGCTGTCCAGACGGTTTGACTGAATGCTGGGTTTTTCGTTGATCAAGACCATGCAGTAAAGTACCATTCTTCTTCACAATTGTTGATACAAGTGACGATAATGAAGTTTCATATTTCATAGTTCGTCGGCAAAATTCATCTGCCATCTTCATGACCAGATGGCAGTAGATGGTAAAAACCCGACAGTAAAATTATCTTTGTACTCAAGTGAAAAGAACTGTACCACAGACAAGACTATCACCGCACTTCGTGTAAAAAATAATGAAATATGTTGTAAGGAAGGGAGAAAACAAAAGTTTGTTTTCTGACGACTTGCTCTTCAGATCATTTTTACATAAATATACAAGGTTGTAAGAATGAACTAACGGTCAGTTCGAGACTGCACTTCTGCTATGATAAGGTCCGCAACTTCGGGCCACAAACGGATAGAGGTGCTTCTTCCGCGTGCAGAGCCTGCCCAATCATTGAAAAATTCATGGTTGTAGGAGATGTATAGCTTTTTGTTTCGTATGCTGCAGGGACCGAACAGGGAATCGATGAGACACTTCTCCAGAAGGGGAACTACAGTGTCCACTGAGATTTCCTTGTTACAAGCTTCACTAAGCGAAGTCACATCACGACCAACGAGACCGCATGGAACCACAGCACGTAGCCATGGCAGCGGCTCATTCGTGCAGTTTATTGCAATCCCATGGTAGGTAACGGATTCACTTTGGTGAACGCCTACCTAAAAAAGAGCACAGAAGGAAAATAGGTCAGCGGGGGTGAATGTCATGGACAACTATTACTACCTAAATGCGCCCAAGTAGTAGGTTTTTAATTGTTTTCAGGCCGTGTGCGGATGCAGCCAACGTCCTCGTGACAAACCTGGAAAAAACAACTAGCAAACGTGCAGTAAAGGGTACAGGGAAGATATAAAAGCCTCGAATACTGCGGTTTCGAAATTTCATCCACATTTTATGGAAAAAATCAGCAGCATGATCACTCAGTAAATTGAGGTTGCTGCAAGCTGTTGTGCTTTGGGAATCAGCAGACAAGATATGCTCACTGTCTGCTTAAAACAAACTGAAGCTTATGCAACGAACGGTGGCGATCAAACATAAGTAATTCAGGGCCAAAAATAAGAAACAGACAGGACTACTTTGACGGCTTCACCGAGCAGAACTTTTAGTATTCAAGTGCATGGCAGTGGAAAAGGATGATGGCACATAAACAGTTGGATGTTATTATCTACAAATCCCACGTAAACAGTAGACTTACCGACAGCCATGACTTTCTTCGATGGACTCAGCCACACGCCAATATCACCGCGCCCTCCTGAAGCAGCCTGAAGTCCAAAGTAGTTATTGCACAAAGCTACCCCCGCTTGCTCCAAGGCGCCAACGTACCACCGAAGGCCACTACCAATAAGAGTGCGACAGCGCAAGTTTATGATCGGGTAAGCCACCAACTGCCCCGGACCGTGGTAAGTTATAAGGCCTCCGCGGTCCGTCCTTGGGAAGGAAACGTAGTAAACGCACAGACGTTTGATACAGGTGACCTAGTTGGGGACGCATGGAAGAAGGATACCCTAAAACAAATGTTCTCTAAAGGGACGTTGGTCACACAGGAGTAGGTATCACCAATTGATCCGGCACCATTTTTTTCTTTTTTATGCGATCAACATGAGTAATTTTAACCAAAAAGACTATCTGAAAGGCATTTAATGCTGCGAGGAAGATGCAAATTTCATTAATGGGCGGTCAACGTATGAGTAGGTTCTTTAAAATATAATTACAGCGGCCCCTAGAAACGTAGTTAACGCTATACTATGTTAGCATTGCATTATCTTACTAATTATAGGGGAGTTTTATTGGACAGATTTATATCAAAAGTCTTAGGGCACAGCATTTAAGAACGGTAAGCTTACATAACAACGTGAATATGGTTGTCTCATATATCCTTATGTGACTGTTTATAAGCGAAAATCTTGACTGAACTGCGTACGAATAATCATCTATTACCCGGCCAGGTTAACAAAACGCAACCTCCTATTGTCCTGTCCTCTTGAGGGTTGAATGATACTTGCCGGCGGTTCCAGATAGGGAGTACCCAGATATCTGGTCATCTCAGACCACGTCCAATCGGTAGTTCACGAATCGATGATCGTTTTATATCGAGGTACTACTTTGCTCAATCTGCCAAGGCAGTTGTTGGACTGGGACTTCCTAAGGTCACAGTGAGTCGACGAGGTACATGGCGCCGAGTGTTATTTCTTGGGAGTAGTCTTCACATCCGACTCTCTAGGACGGATCCCTTGCACTTGAGGTCTTGACCTGAAGAGCATTCAGCGCTATTTGTTCTTCCTTGAGCCGTTTCTCCTGGCAAATGTATTTCCAAGCCAAACATTCCTATACACTTTGGAGATCATTTCGTCTGACTGACAAACCACTGACGGCACGCTTCCAAGTGGAACCCTTTTTCTTCTTAGTGCTCTGTATATTCTTCCAGGTTTGACGTTCGCACTGGTCTGGAGTTTCCATATTCAGAATACCATGGCTTGTACGTAATATAACAAACCATAAGACTACAACTGAGCATGAGTTTTGAAGGTCGTTAGAATAGTTCTTCTAGCTTAAGGGTCAAGATCCACGGTTTGTGCTACGGCTCCTAAAACTCAAAAGCATAATTAATCTAGTGACAAAAAGCATCCGGAAAATCAGAGTAAGCGCACTTTACAAAATCGGCTCCCAAATGCTTGAGTCTTGCGATTCCAACATCCGAATAATCATTTGCTGGGTCCTTCGATCGAACGCCGATTGTGTAGACGGGATTGTGTTCCAAGAGAAGAATTGTGTGTGGGAATACATTCTTGTTGGACGATTTCAAAACCCGTACGATAGATTTTTGTAACTGCCAGGCTGCCTCATACCCTACACGTCCAACGTGGAAGCATGTAACAGACGACACCATGGCAAAATTGGGACAAGCTGAAAAAAAATTGTTCCGTAAATAAACAGTTAGCAGATACACCCAACGTGACCGTATAAAATATGAAGTAAAGTTGGCAGAGCAGTTGTGGAAATCTTCCGAAAATGCATTCAAAAACTGAAGACAACCAGAAAATGAGGCAGTTCCAGCGAGACCGAAAAAACCATATGGAGCGAAGGGGACGGCTCACCGTCCAGTTGGCCAGCGCACCCAGTGCTCATCGAAGTAAGCCCACACCTTCACTGTAATTCGTCATTCATAACTTTAGGTACGTGACAGAGACTGAACTTCCAGTGTTTACGACAGGTTATTGAGTAAGATGCGTGCTCCGCAATATTGAGTGTCGTCGGATGACAGCCCGCGTCAGCAAGAATGGTCTAATCCATTCCAGGAACTAACCACGAGCACCACATTCACGGAATATTTTTAGAGTTTTGTAGGAAAAAACACGGTTGAAATAGTTGCTAAAATTCGCATACATAATGGTCGGATCATAATCAAGATACAACACCACTGATGCTCTTTCTTCTGCTAGCAAGGGATTCAAGATACTGGAATGGTTAGCCCTGAGTAGAGGGTAACATTCGGGAAATGCTACCCGAATCACCGGCTGATTAATCTCCCCATCACTTTTGACAAAACTGGGGACACGCTAACATAGCAAAACATATAATCGTTCAGCTATAGCACTCTTCCGGTCATCATCATCATCAAAGACAGCAACATCAGTGTTGCCACTGATGCTTCACTGCCGTACAACCATAAGGTTTGTCTAGTTATATATAT